ACAGGCGTTTGTACCGTTTTGTTTGAATCTTCATTAGAATAAAGTAGCAGCTTACACTGGTGAGTAGCACGCTCCGTTCATGTTCTACGATCTTATAACCATTTATGCGATCCTAGACTACAGATTATTCAACTTCATAACAAATGGGAAAAGTGAATATTTTTAACCGTTTTTATCCATATAACGTACATGGCAACTTGTGTGTTTTTTTTATTATTTGTATAGTATAGTAATTACCTATATATTATATGTTTAACTTTTGATATACGTAAATGATTATGTAGATTGTTTTTTAAACCATCACAAACTTTTAAACAACTTATATATGTTGCTTGTTTTATATTTGGTGTACAATAAGGCTTTATTTATATTTTTTTTATTCGAATATATCTAAGGCATACTATTATGCAATCACCATAATGTTTGCCTTACCTCGTATGAATCAACTATAAATGAGGGCTTCAAGAGGAGAGTCTATTCCTTCCTTAAAGGCCGGCGACGCATTTGTGACTCCTTACGTTACGAGTATTCGGGCGGTTGTGAACAATTACCAACAGGGGGCCCGCATGCTCGTTTGCCTCCTATTCCATAAAAAAGCTGTTTGCTAAGTTAGTCATAGTGTCATATATTTTTTGGTAATTTCATATTTTATGACATATATATTGGCTCAACTGTAGGTTGTACACATAAGTGTACAATTTGTTGGGTCAAACGCTTTGTGCGTGCGCTATAATTTGAAGTACGCAATCGCTTTGAGCGTGTAAAGGTTTTAATTTTCTTTAACGCAAAGATTATAATTCATAATTCAATATATGTGTAGAACAATGTCTCAAAGAATCAATCCTTATCTTACAAACGTTACAAACTTGAGGATCTTATAAATGTTGTTACCAAGCTCTCTCATAATTTTATACGAAAAAAATCAAAAGCCTGGGTCGACGAAAAATTAGAAAATCCCTTGTTACAGGCCACTCGGCTTAACCCGACACTTAAATGGTTAATCAATGACCAATCAAACCATCACCGCTCCTAAGATGCCAAACGTAATATCATTACTAACTATACAATAAGACAAAAATATGTTATGACCAAATCTCTGCATCTCAGTAGCCATTGCAGATTAGACAATGGAACGTTACGTCTCGCTTCATTGCCGACACCTCCGCGAACAATCCAAGATTACTGCCAACCCAATTAGGCTAACATGCGGCGTGGGTCGGGTTGATTCACTCATCCAGCAAACCGTAATTTCAGGTCATAAGGACGCTCTAGGACATGTATAACATCGATTTCATTTAATAATTCACGCAAAATGCCTTAGCGTGACCGTAATTGATAACGTAGGTATACGCTCTGTCTGTCCATTGAACATGTCCGATACAATCTTTAATTTTCGATACAGCGTCCTGAACAACCGTAGCGTGGAAAATGGGAAAATATAGATTTGTAGCTCAAATAGTTTAATCTCTGGCTAATTATTTCCAAATGATCCTTTCAATTTGTTTCTAACGCGTATTAGATTTCTATGAGGATATCGTCACGAGACGTGAGATAGCGTTTATCTAATCAGAGTTTAAATATTGCACGATCTAACAGTTTTGTGGGTTAAGCAAGCTTTAAAACTTACCCCTGATTTTCGCAAACTCAAGGTGAAAATATATTGTGACGTCATCTTTGTAATTAGGATTGACGTAATTTCGCACTAGCTTCCTAGTGGGTGGAACATTGCGATAATTCGTTTATTTTTTATCTTGAACGTCGCATTATTTCATATTTATTCCATAAAACAACAGAAGAATAATAACATTCAAAGTCAAGCTTCTCAGGATATAAGAAAGTTAAAGAATTTCTGTATTAGCGGATAACTGAATTTTTGTTGATGTTTGCATCGCTTAAGTATGTAGATCTAGCACGATGAAATTTAATATGGCATATACAGCGTGTCGTTACCATCGCGACAATAAATGAACACACGTCTAAAGCTACTTGCCAATAATCATAAAAAAATATTAACCTTAAACAAAATGCATAATTAAAAAAAAATTTTTTTCAAACAAACTAATTAAGTAAAAAAGAAACAAATTTTGTAACATCCTATACAACTCGCGCCACAGCGTCACATTACAAGCCTCTCCTTCTAACAGTATGTTTGTCTCTTTTAAATTCATTCAACCCATTCATATGCTTTGTGACATTTACAAATGAACTTTACGTTACAGTTTTATACGTAAGGGTGTTCTAAAATTGTTTGTTTTGGAAAATTTAATAACTCGGTAAAAATTGATGTTTAAAGAATGTAAATGATTAATACAATTTTAAAAAGTTATCCTCTATACGTGTGTTCATTTATTGTCGCGGTGGTAACGACATGTTGTATATGGCTTGTTTTATAAAACAACAAAATTTTAAATATCCAACTAATATGGGTGTGGTTCGAGCTCTGTTGTTTTCGGTCTTAATATAATGATGATTGATAAATTTGAGATGTGTTCGCGCAGCCCCTTATGCCTTGTTTTGATTGTCGTGGGGGAAAATGGCTACGCATATGCACGCTTACGTGTGCTAGGACGGGCTTGAACTCGCACCGACTAAGCCTGGGGGCTTTTCAAGAGCGCACGTTGCCAGAGTAACAGGAACGCTTTCACATACTTCCGAAACCCCGCCAGTGCCGGCAGCCTAAGCTGCCCGCTTCGGGAAGAAACCCTCATCAGTAAGGCGCGTAACATTACCTCGCGCCTTCATAGTAGACCCCTTTTTAAAGGGCATGGGAGCCAAGCGATCAAATTCAAACAAAACAAGCAGTTGTAAGTCCCAAGAAGCGATGAATCTGTATTAGAAGAACTATGTAATACCTATTCGCATTCACGGTTCTCATTGTTTAGCCGGGCCCTCAGCTTCTTCCGGACGGACACAATATTTTATTTTACCTAGTTAAAGAAAGATATTTATAAATTTTAACATATGTATAAATACATAGCCTTTTTTTATGGGAGAAGATGGGAAGTGAAGACAAACGTTCTGGCGGTTCAACTGATGTTATGTGATAACCGCAGCCCATTGATATCTGCAACCAGGGCCGTATTTAGGGGAGAGCAACTGTGGGGCCCCCGCAATAGAGACTTCGGAAAACAAATTTCAAATTCAGACTAGTAAACAATAGTAAACAACTTTTCCTTTCATATTGTTTATCGCGTTTTAGTTTTACCTACAGTACTTTGTACAAACATGATTACATTAAATACTAACAGAAATTAATAGAAAATAATTTGGGGCCAAGGGCCCTCCACTCGTTTGTTATTCCGAGGCCTCCAGAACTCTAAATCTGGCCCTGTCTGCAACACCCGTAGCGTTGCAGATGCGTTTCCACCCGAATTAATGAAGAATCAAAGAAATTAATGAAGTGGGTCCCGGCTACCTCACTCACCATTAAAAATAAGCCAATAACATGTTTTTACATATAAAAATAAAGTTAGAGGAAGTTTTGAGAACTTAGGACCAATTAGGCGGCAACTTTGCTCAACTTACATACTATATATCCCTCTCTAGACATTAAAAAATGTATTATTGATAATTATCGCTTCTACGCAATAACTTATATGTCTAGATAGTGTCGTGTTGCACACCGCGAACTATCGTTAAACAAACAGACCATTAGTCATTAGCCATCATCATTTTTACTTTCCTGATGGGTGTGCATAATACTACTAGGTTAGAAAATTACAATAGCGACAGATTAATCATGATGTTGACTTTAGATTTTTCTGTTTTATCGACGCCTATTAAGGCAAAACATAGAGAACGTAATTAGTATATCAAGCGGTCAACATTTTAACGGATTTTTTTTGACATGTTCGCAGATTTTGTATATATGTACGTTTACATATAAATAATCTAAGCTACTATCATCGTAGTAAACGTAAACTTAAACTAAAAATAGAATAAACTAAACTAAGTTAACACCCTAAAACTTAAATAAACTGCAAACGAAAGACTAGAATTGCAGCTTTTCTAAGCATTTGTTATTCATTGTTTCATTAATTCATGCCTGTACTAAGGCCTGAACATAGGCCTCCCCCACAGACTGCCACGAAACATGTTAGTCGAAAGGTTCTATTGTTCAAGGTCGCAAATTTTCGTTATAAACATTATTTCATTACATTTGAAGTTTTAAGCCTTTTCTTGTATTGACAGAAACAATATTCAAATGTAGTTGCTACATCTAATATTTAGTGAAATTAAGTAACTGTTTGAAAAGGTCCCGTATACAGGATGGTACCGCTACAGTAATATATAATTAAGTATAAGATACCTTAACCTAACATGTAGTATCGATTTATTGTCAAGGTTTTGATGTTACCTACAAATTGCCAAGGAAGGAAAGCCGTGTACGATTTCTGAACGGCTGTCTTGTTATTGTTTAAATGTTATATAACCTACCCAAGTAAAAATTTAATATACTATTTTTTTTATTTTACTTTTACCTAATTAAATTATTCCAAACCCAAATCTTCCTGTAACAATGAACCTCGTAAAAAAAAGGATCAGATATTCGTTAGAAGAAAAAACAAATTTAAAATGAAAATAATAATATTTTATAATATTATGTTTTAAAAAAAGTTACACAAGTTAAACTTACTTATTTTATACTTAAAAGCTAAATATTATTATTTATTTATATGAAGAACTCGTCACAACAAAATAAACTTTCTTTTTATACTCTTACTAGCGGACCGGACAGACCTTGTCCTGTACACACGACAACTTAGAAATAAAAAAAATTGTAGTGGACCGAATTGTGAATCTTAACTCTCTCTCGACTGAACTCCAATCGACCTTAAAACACGAAAAATTTCATTAAAATCGGTCCAGCCGTTTAGGAGAAGTTCAGTGAAATATACACATACAGAAGAATTTTATATCTCTTATTGATAATTGAATAAAATATTGAGATTACTTTTAATTGACGAATACGCTTCACTTACGAGTTTTCTCTTTTACAGCATGCTTCAACTACGAGACCAAGGCGAAGGAGAATAAATTCGACGCAAAAGAGATAATGGATCCCGCAACTCGTAAGTATTCACGTCACATGCCATTTCCACACAATTTTACCATATTAGAAACTACTTCAAAATACCTTTACCTAACCCACCAACACCTGCGTAATACATTTTTATAGCTTTGCCTTTTTTAAGAAAGGTACATTCGGTCAGCCAAAATTGATGGGAATGCTTAGAGGTTGTATAGTTACAAAAATTTCAAACATAAATTTTCTGAACTGTCGTCGAATGTGTCGTCGTGTGAGAAGTTTAAATAATAAATACTACCAGTATAAAATGGTAATTGTAGCTTTGTTAAATATATACGCACGGGTTTGGGTATATTACGCTCTTGGCTCGTTTCTGTTGCCAGACTATTTAATTGCTTCCATGCTAACATTATTCAAATAGGCGCTGTCTACACGCGAACACCGTACACGAAGTTCACTGCTACTTTTTTAATAATACTAAGTAGGTATTATGCGGCTTTTATAGCACTTTACCGAAGAATTAACTTTTTATAAATTAAAACCTTCAATTTATTACTATTTTTTTTCCGGTGGTAGGGCCACGCAACAGTGTTTACTGTTGCACGAAAGGGCAGGTCCGTCCGGGTAAGTACCACGACCTCACACAAGACCCGCGTTAAGTTGAAGTACATTTCTGCGTTTCGTCTGGTGAGTGAGTTATTCAAAGGTTGCAACGCATTTGCACCCTTACGGGTGCTGCAAATCGCCATGGGCGGTGGTTTTCACTTTGCAGCAGATGAACCGCCAGCTAGTTTGCCACTTTCTCACATAAAAAAAAAATTATGCTGATACTAGTTGTGAGACCACATAGACTATAACTTTACATGATACTGACTCGTCAAAAACACAACTAGGTTCAGGTCTTTCGGTACATAGCCAAAAAGGGCAAGCCCTCCTATCTTATATGACTTTTACACGCTTTTGATTTAAATTTCATTGATATATTAGAGTACATATCTTGGGATAAGGTGACAAGCGAGAAGCGTATTCAGCCGATATTAAGTTATAACCGCCGCCAATAGAATTGGATATCGAACCCTGTACGGTTGTTTGTTGTTCCCGCGATGTTTTAAATATGTGTTGCCATCCATTCTGTGAGCCCCGAATAGCCCAATGATCAGATGGCAAAGGTATGATATCTTCCACTTTACACCGGTCTTCTGAGTTTCGAGACGCCTGTCTACATCCACGGGTGAACCAGAAGTCCGTCCGTAAAACAGAAGCTGTAGCGTAGCCCTACAACAACATTATTTCACAATTTAGCTGTTTAATTTGTAAACTACACAAACAATCAGAATACCGTGCCTGATAGACATCAGATATTTATTATAAACTAGCTGCTGCCCGCAACTACGTCTGTGTAGAATTAGCGTTTAATTATTATTTAGACAGAAAGACAGATATATATAAAATAAGTAGGTATATAAATTATAGCCTATGTCGTATTCTGATGTATAAGCTATATTATTTGTAGTTTCATTAAAATCCATTCAGTAGTATTTGCGTGAAAGAGTAACAAACATCCATCCATACATACACAAATTTTCGCGTTTATAATATTAGTAAATAGTAAGGATATTGGTATACGCTTACGCATTCATACCACTGTACAAAGGAACATCATATTTATGTATGTCCTTATTGTTCCATATTCATACATAGTTAATTTCAGATATTGCTAGTTATATATACCAATCCGAAGTTAAACGTACACTCCTCTATCGATCGAATAACTGAAAACAATGTCAACCAAACACTGACCTATTTACCATGTTTTGAATATAACGATAAACACAAAAACTAGCAGCGTTTACTGACATTACTAAATGCCTTTTATATCCTTTTTAGGAATAAAAATGTAGGCAAATATAGTTTTGTTTGTGTAAATGTTTTCGTATCACCGAACACGTCTTGTTAAAACCAAGATAAAATGGTGGTTTTTGGTGGATTCCAATATTAAATCTTAACAAAAACGAAATATGTAGAACAATATTTACAATGGCTACAATTACATTACATCAGTCGTACGACACACCTTGCGCAATGAAGACGTATTATTTAACTTTTATAAACCCCTCATGAATATTCCACGAATGTTCCGAGCCATCGTGAATGGAAACTGTGGTGTTTTGTGCTGACGAGTGAAATATGTGCGAAATGTATCTCGGCAAACCAAAGACCTCGTCAAACAGTAAGTTTTTATATGTTACTGTTAACAGAACCAGAAGCTAAGTTAAAATTCAAAAGCCCATGAGTATTTGTTAGATAGCTTTCATTTAGGCGGATCATTATTATGGAATAATCTTATTTTAAATGTTCTTAACGGTCTTTATTTTCAGAAAATCAATATGCTATCGTACGCCACATAATTTGCTAGCATCTATTCATTACTTGATTGATCGGCTATCCTAAAAATGTTTTAATAACTTATGTTTATTCGGAAACTTTTTTCAATCATCCGTCTTCTTTGCTATTATTTGTATGAGGTGAAACCTTGCAATGTCCTAATATGTTAAAATAATCTTATGCTCTTTAACTTTTTTGAAGTTGGTTATAAAATAAATAGATATTCTTAAAAATATGGAGGAATGGGTTGTCATAAACACCTAGAACGTATTAAACAATATAAAAGTATTCTCATGCATCATCAAGTTTTCTCAGTCTTTATATTTTATATAATTATACCCTCACTTGTGTTGCCATGGAAGTAATGTTTGAAGTTTCTTTTTTTTATGTAAAATTTGACAACAGACCGGGTACTACACCTGATTTAAAATAATTGCAGAAATATTGCAGAATGGAATCGAACAGCCAAATCAGTAACAAATAATTTAGACTATCATTACATGGTCTGCTTGGTCATTACCCATGACGCCAAAGCTTGGCAAAGACGGCAATCGAGAAAATTCAATATATTATAGTTTACCGACATATTATCCCAGGGAATACTTAAATGTACTTAGCTGTAAAGTTTCAAGTTTATCAGCAGTATCTATCTAGAAAAGAGTAAATATCTAGAAAAGAGTAAATATCTAGAATCAGTAAATATCTAGAAAACTGCGTATATACTTCAATGAGCTATATTAAATGTTTGCTATATAAAATCTATCGGTAGCTTGACTACGTCCGTATTAAAAACAAACCTTATAAATCGTATTCGAATTTGAAAACCGCATGTTTTGAAACATAAAATATCCAGCGTTTAACCGCGGCTTCGCTCGCGTATAAAACTAAATAGAACACCAATCCAAGGTGGATAAGGTGTAAATATTCTAAACTTTTTTTTTAAATCTCTAAATATAATTAAAATTGTAGTAGCCTGGCATCGACCCCAGTCGGCATCCTCGCGTCAAGAGGAGGAGCTAATACAAAAGAGCACTCGTGCTGCCTCCAACACCACCGACCCCCTAGAGAAGCTGCGTCTGCTTTGCCTGTCCAGGGGTGCCACTGGAATCCTGGGGCTTGGAAGGTGAGCACTATGCGAAGATTTGAATAGCAAATATATAGCAGGGTTGAGGATTTAACATCAACCCTGCACCCTATGGTATGCCATATGTGTGTGAAGGGCTCGTTAATTTTTTTTTATGCGAAAAGTTGTAAAGCAGACGGTTCACCTGATGTTAAGTCGCCGCTCATGGAGATCTGCCACACCCGAGGGTTACAGACAATCTTTGACAACGTTTTAAAAATTGGGCTCCAGCTACCTCACTCACCAGACGAAACGCGAAAGTATTTGTCATACTTCCACTTTACGCCGGTCTTCTGTGAGGTCGTGGTACTTACCCGGACGGACCTAGCCATTCGTGCAACAGTCGAGGCTGCTGTGTAGCCCTACCACCGTAAATTTAATAGATTGGTCAGGTATAGCTATTCTATATCACGCGGGTCCAATGTTGATTGGCAGATTATTCCAATATTGATGGGACCTAAGAATTGTTTATTTTCTTAGATATCCATTCTGACGATGGGGTTCATCGCACCAAAACTTAAAATTACGATTAAGAATTGCTTAATATGTGTTGATTTCATTTTGTTTATAGAGTTTTCAGACGTATGGATGATGATGGCAGCAAACAGCTAAACAAGGAAGAGTTCGTCAACGGCTTAAAGGAAACGGGACTGGAATTGACTAAAGAGGTATATGCATAAAGTTCACGTGACTCGAATAATTCACTGTAATAAATAATAATAAAATATCTTTATTCACATAGACGCTTGCGCGTTCTTATGAAACGTCAAAATTTTACAAGAAATTAACACGTTCGTAAGTTACCACCGGTTCGGAAAGCAGTTTCTGTTGAGAAGAAACCGGCAAGAAACTCAACAGTTGCTCTTTTTTAAAAAATCAGTTTACAATATAATAGTACAGGTACAATAGTCTTGTTTTAGCCTACGTGAGTATCAACAGTATTAACCCCACACATTGGCGTCGTCAAGATATTCGGCAATAGTATTATAGGCTTTAGCCATAAGTTTACTTTTAATTTTTCGTTTAAATTCATCAAGTGGCAGACTTAATATCGACTGTGGGATTTTATTATACATGCGCACACTATGCCCCATGAACGACCTGTTTACTTTTTGTAGGCGAAATAATGGCGTAGTTAGTTTGTCCTTATTTCTAGTATTTAGTTTGTCTGTCACTATTCTTTTGATAATTATTAATATTCTGTTTAACATACAAAATTTTTTTTTTTTTTTTTTTTTTTTTCAGAGCTTCTTCAATATATTTTAAAGATCAAAATACATTTCTTACAACTTTTAACAGTTCTTTCATACCAAATTACAATTTTGAACAATATAATAATGCAAATACTATTGCTTTAGGCAACTTGTCACTTAAAAAAAATACAAAATGCTGCAAATAATAATATAACAGCTTAGAGCTCGCAAACAAATTACAATTGCGCAATCAATTATATATGAAAATAAAATCATTTTACTCCAGCTTCTGATCCAAGAAACATTACAACCCCAATACAAAAAACTTACAAGAAGCTGGCAGCAAAACATTTTAATATTCCTCAATGAGTTTGAACACAATGTTTCAGCAAAATAAAGATATCCCATTCAATAAACAGAAAATTAAACTTAATTCAAATACAATCATATTTTAAATCTCCTTAATACTAAAGTATTCCCTATTACTTATTAGCTATGTTTAGTCCTGACAGACAGTTTTATGATGTCACACCACTTGTCCACATCACTACCTTTATAGAAAACTATGTTTACTGATTGGGTGATGAATTATACAATGATGAAAAACTTATCCAGGTTCAAATGCAATGTTGATCTTGATGATGCTTCAGTTAAACAGGTGCTCCAGGACCACCTTTTTTGCCAATCAGGGATTTGTGTATATGGGGTATAACACCACCTCCAACTATGGTTGCTTTAATTAAACTGTCAATTTCTTCATCTCTGATAGCTAATTGCAAATGCCGAGGGGTGATACGCTTAACTTTAAGATCTTTTGATGCATTTCCCGCTAACTCCAACACCTCGGCGGTAAGATATTCCAGAATAGCTGCTGAATATACCGCTGCTGTAGCACCAACACGACCGTGGCTTGTCGTCCTATTTTTAAGATGTCTATGTATTCTTCCCACTGGGAACTGCAACCCTGCTCTTGCTGATCTGGATACCGCTTTCGCCTTGGCTTTGCCAGAATCTTTACCCGCTTTACCACCAGCCATTTTGAAACGTGTAACACACTATTACCACTACAGTGAGCAACCACCACAGGAAAGGCGCCAAGCCAAATCGACAAGATAGACACAAAGATGGCAGTACCGCGCCGTGCGACTCAACTTGGCTTGGCTTTACTAAAGATTTTGGCTAAGCATTTGGTTAGCCAAAGTTAGATTAGTTATGTGTATGTATACATTCCACACTAAAGATAATCCTACCATAAATATTTTGTATTCTTGTTCTACCAAAATACAAGTATTAAAGTAATATTAAGGATATCAGGTAGTATATAGATAACACGAAAGTTTTTTTTTAATCTTGAGCGTATTATATTTGGTCGTATTTATTCATATCTGACGTTTTCAGGAAGCTGAAGACCTCTTCAATAAATTCGACACTGACAAGAGTGGCTCCATTAGTCTTGACGAGTTCATAAAACAAATCCGTGTAAGTAACAAAAGAGTTTACGGGTCTAATTAGTATAAGTGTAAACGAAGTAAAGGAAAAAATGTAAGTATGTCTCATGGCTACGCAAAGTTCACTTCTGTAAAAAAAACTATGGCATACGACAGAGCTTGGTAAGGTCTACTCTTGACATATCTATTCTATCTTCAAAATATTATATTTTTTCTTTAGAAAACTTGCGCGTCTCCTCGCGATGGTTTTGTTCATAGCCGCCTATGTTGTCAATCACCCCTTAAAATTGCCTTTATAATTTCATTACCAATAAATTAAAGTCATGTTGGTCAAGTATATTGAATTAACAGCTTATTGCCCCGACACAGCTATCATGGCTTCTACTAAGGTCAGAGTTCAGGTTAAGACAGAAATTAACTACAATACCTGACATTAGTGTTGCTACTTTACGTCATATTTAAATATTATATAAGAATAGGCTTGTACTGAGCTAAATGTGTTTACTAAGTCATCGCCTACCATGCAGATAGATGGTAGTCAAACGCTAGACGGTTAAACTGTTCTAACGTTTGTTTTATATACCGACTCATTGCTTTTCTTTTTTTATTTTCGCCGTGTTTTTTTTATGTGGGACTAGCTGTGACTTCTTCCGCGTGGAATTAAAATAAATAAAATTTCTAAAATAAAAGTTTCCTAAGTTAGTGTTATTAGTGTTGCCTAAGTATATGGATTAGCCAAACATACACAAATCAACGGTGGTAGAGCCACGCATCAGCCTCGGCTGTTGCACGAATGGGCAGGCTCGTCCGGATAAGTACCACGACCTCACAGAAGACCGGCGTAAAGTGGAAGTATGATAAATACTATCGCGTTTCGTCTGGTGAGTGAGGTAGCCGGAGCCCAATTTCCAAAAAGGTTGTCAACGCATCTGCAAACTCTCGGGTGTAGCAGATGTCTATCGGCGGCGGTATTCACTTAACATCAGGTGAACCGTCTGCTCGTTTGGCAACTTTTCACATAGAAAAAAAAATAATAAAAAAATAGTAAAAAACATGCATTTAGTAAAAATTATTATTTTACTATTACAAACAGACACTCACTCACAATCTGTATAGATATATTTATCTGTATAGATTGTGGCAAGCGAGGCGGTTCACCCGGTGTTAGATGATAACCGCCGCCCATAGACATTTGCAACACCCGTAGGTTTGGACGCGTTGCCGCCTCTCAATAGAGTGGTTATTTTAAACGCTAGACAGTTAATGGTTCAAACCAAGAGTTTGTTTTGTGAACGGACGTCGTTGTCATTCGTTTGGTCTCGGTGGACCGTGGTTATTTTCAGCCGCCCATGTCGGACTCTCGACGCGCCATTGTTGAGCAGGCTTTCAAGAAGCTGGACAAAACTGGTGACGGCGTGATCACGGTCGCGGACATTCGCGGTGTCTATTCGGTCGAGGCCCATCCAAGGTTTGATTCCGTAATCATATATTTTATAAAATCCCTTTTAATATGTTTTGTAAAAAACGGTTCCTACAACTGAATTGAGACTCCTTTCTTGGAGTGTTGACATGTTTGCTCTACAAAAAAGAAGGTGTCCAGGTTTTTTCATTAAAGTATTAAATAGTTTACTCATTAATTTAGTTAATTAAGTATAATGTTTACAAAAAAAAAAGAAAAAAAAATTAATAGTTTTTACTCATTTCATTGTAGTCAGTGGATAAACCTTTGTACCTAATGTTACATTGATCATTGTGTATGCTGTGTTTGCTATGTATTAAATGGAATCATTTTTTTTTCTGTGTATATTTCTTTTGTGATCATGCTAGATTGTATTCAGTTAAGCAGACCTAATAAACTAAAAAAGTCGGTTGAAGACACTTACTGACTACTTATGTTAAGTTTAATCTTAATGAGTTGTTTTATGTCTCCATTTGACAAAGAAAAAAAATTGATAGCGAGGAGCTAATTTTAATCTTTCGCCTTTACATTCTTGAGTTTAACACTAAGTAACTTGAAGGTATATGAGCGGAGAGGAAACGGCCGACGTGGTTATGACCAGGTTCCTGGCCAACTTCGAGGCGGATGGATCTACTGATGGCACGGTGATTGTTTCATAATTAATATTATATTATCTGTAAGCGTTCACACATACTTGAAAGGTAACACAGCTGTTTTAACTCCAACAGAGATTTTTTATGTGAGAAGGTGGCACGCGAGCTGATGTCGGTTCACCTGTTGTTAAGTGATATCCGCCGCCCATTGACATTTGCAACTCCCCTACGGTTTTTCACCTTTTAATAAAGTGGACCCCGGCTACCTCACTCACCAGACGAAACGCCGAAGTACAACACTGCCGCTTCACACCGGTCTTCTGAGGTCCTGGTACTTACCTGAACAGACCTGCAATAGTGCAACAGCAACTGTTGCGTGGATACATACCCTAGATGTTTAGCTTGTTCACGATTATGTAAGTCGTAATCGTAAATCGTAACAATTGTACGGGATCACGAACGTGAGATGGTTGTTAAGACTTACACCCGGTTTCTAAAACGCTGACGGTCGGTTTCTGAAACACTGATCACAATTCTTAATGATCAGAACGTTCAATTTAAAGAGTTCAACAATCCTTTTGGCAACTCAAATAACATTTGAAAAGCTATTTGACAGCTGATTAGTGAACTTTACGATGATCACGCCCGGTTTCTGAAACACTGATCATGGTTAGAAGTCGACTAATCAATTGTCAAATGGTTCAGTTTTTCAGAAACCTGGCGTTCCGTACCGTTCATACAAGTGGGATCTGTATCTTGAGACGTTCCCAACCACTACGCCATCGCTGAACGAGATATCTCATATCGAATTATTTAGATTACCAAAATTATCTAAGAAACAACTACAGTATTGTTAATCTGATATATATATATATATATAATTGATATTTATCCGCGTATCCAACTTCAAAAATATGACATTAATTCCAGAAACCATTATAGTACAATACGTACGTGCAAAAGCAAATTCACTTAAGAGACATTCGAATAAGGTGTAATATCTATGGTAAATTCAAAATAGGAATTTGATGAATTAAAATATGCGATGACCGTTTTTTAATTGCAGGTAACACTTGAAGAGTTCATGAACTACTACAGCGGCATCAGTGTTTCCATCGACAATGATTGCTATTTCGATCTTATGATGCGTCAAGCTTACAAATTGTAATTCTGCGTATCCTGAACATTGTCTACTCTTACACTCAAATTCTATCATAGTTTGCACAGTGAGTTATAAACACTGCGATCTTTTCTGCTTACACATGCACTTAGGTATTATATAGCTTTAATTGCAAACATTTATTGCAACGAGTAAAATTCATATTTATGAAAATGTGTTTGTTTTTTCGCATCCTTACATTACATTGACATAAACGTGAACTCGTGCGGTGAGGATTTTATTAAAAATTTTAATTACAATTTCAACATCAATGTCTTGTTGTTTTTGAATCCCTTTAATCCTTAAGCAAAGGTGTACCTATACCATGTGTATTATCAAGAATGGGGTACGGGCCGTCGAATTTGTACCTATATTCCATGTGGTAGGGCCGTTGCACGAATGGGCAGGTCCGTCCGATTTAGTATCACGACCTCACGGAAGATCGGCGTGAACCAGAAGTGTTACACTTCCGCGTTCCGTCTGGTGAGTGAGGTAGCCGGGCCCACTTTATTCTAAGGTGGCAACGCAATTCTAAGGTGGCAAGGCAACGCATCTGCAACCCTACGGGTGTTGCAAATGTCCATGGGCGGCGGTCATCACTTAACAGCAGGGTTACCGCCAGCTCGCTTACAAAATTATTAAAAAAATATTTCAAAGCGCAGTAAACTGTCATTAGAATAACTTTCCCACAATCTGTCTTCTCGAACCAGCCACGGTTTTGATGACCTATGTGAGACGATACAAAGGACCGTGGCAATGGCAAAGGATCAACGTGGCAATGGTAAGCGTGTCATTTTCAAACTACGATGCGTTTAATATTCGTCAGACTCAATATTTGAATTAACTTTCATTATACTATACTTGACAAGTATATAATCAAAGGTCAGACCAGGTCAGAGGTACATACTTACTTTCCCTGCTGGTTAAGGCCCGCCGGCCGGCCTTGAAGTTGGGGTTTCAAGCGGCCAAAATTCGCGTAGGATGCAGATGTAAACCGGTGTTGTAGGGGAAATGCCTACGCATACAGCATACCGACAGCAAACCACATAAAGTAACATTTTTACACTGAACATTTGAAGGAGAGGTCGCCTTTGCTAATGGTTGATTGTTTTTACAGTTTTTCAGTTGGCCATCAGTGGCTTGCGATGCCAAACTTTTGTTACATCATAATTTACTAAACTTTCACGTTAACAAATCAAATTTTAATAACTTGCCAAAGGAAATAGTCACCAAATGGTGAAACTCCACGCTACGGGTTCGATTAGTGGTCCCAATGATCCACAAATACTTATTAAGTCTCAACGTAGTTTACTGATAGATGTGAGTTCTATGTCCCGTCGAAGCTTTATGTCGTAACGGAATGAAATATGTATAAAAGCTATTCTTTAAATAGCTAATTGCTCATCTATGACAAAATACGTACTATTATATAATACTTACAAATACAACCTTTTTTCTTTTATCGAACTAATTTTGACTTAGGAATGTCTTCCCTACATTTTACACATCTATCTCTCTCCCTCGACGCCGCCGTCTGGACGCATTCGAAACGCTTCGTCAACATGCAAATCTACGTACTTTTATTTCATTCTGCGGTGCGCGGTGCGTCACTGTCACGGCTGCAGACTGCAGACGACCGGATACATTACAAAAGCATTATAACTACACACTTATATCAAGCATCGCACGACAAACTTAAAATAGTTAGATTGATTTTGTATTCTAATTTTAATTACTTAATTAAATATCCTACAAAAAAAACTGAAATCCTTTTAATTAATGCATATTACAATAGCTCAGTGTCCGGGCGGTCGCCTTTATTCAATACACTCGAATTCGATCAGGGAGATGAAAGACCAATGAAAGTGTTGAGTTTACTTGCTAGATTATCACCTGCTCAGCGGTAAAGGAAAAGATCGTGAGGAAACCTGCATATATTCAAAATAGGTAATAACAAAAAAATGTTTCGAAGATATGTAAAGTCCGCCAATCCGCAGTGAGGCCGTGTGGTGGACTATGCCCTGGTACCCTATGACACACAGGAGGCCTTTGTCCAGCATTGGAACATGTATAGGCTTTATGTATAGGATATGTTTTTTTTTTTTAATAGGGTACGTCGGTTCATTACGCAACAGTTAACCTTAACATTGCTAAAAAAAGGGGATTTTTAGTATACATATTAGTATTTTATATGTATATTTACCATACAATATGTACTAGTATTATATGGAGTCGTAAATTTAACGTTCACTGCTTGTTAAAACCAATTTAATTTCCATGATGTTTTAGCGACGCTTACCCCTACAATAAACTCGCTATTAGGTTTATGAAAAAAACAACAATGCATATTGTACTGTACAATTTATAGCGGATGCAATTGGACGTATAAGTGGTCTAAGGACTTATAATCTAGAGGTGCCAAAAAGAAATTCTAAATTGACTTTCAATCAATTTAAGACTTTCTGTTTAGTTGCTTTCCCTAAACCAAACTTGTTCCGTATTTCGACTTACCATCATACAATCATATTTTGCAGTTACAAGACGAATAGTAAATATAGGACATTTTTTCTGTTTTCCTTGCTGACTTGATCTCTTGCTTTTGTATTATATTTTACTTTAGTCTCGGATTATTTAGCTTTTTATTGGTGCAAATATTTCAAAATCAGCTCAGCTGATTGTATCTTTTCATACCATAGATATAATATTTTATGTAATTATATATAAAATTCAACTTATCCTATATTAATAAGGGTAAAAGAGAAGAAATGTTTTTAAATAACAACAAACATCAATTAAATATGCTATATTATATGTTATCATAATGATATACAGTTTTATTATTGTTTCTTCAAAGGCATCAATATTATTAATATTAAAGTCTATGTGATTAAGTCTTGTGAATATTAGAAAATTTACCGATAGTTATATCGCTGTCCCTTTCACATCTTCATTAAGCGTGCGTTATTGTTTGCAAAATGCATAGATAGCGCAATATAGTATTACAACTTGTAAGATTGTCGCATCATGAGATCGAAGTAGCTATCATGCTCAATTGAAACACTTATACCACTGTAGTAGTTCATAAACTCTTCCAGTGTCACCTAAAACAAAAACGATATAAATAATTAAGGAATACAGATATCTGTTAGTGTCTTCTAAAATTCAATTATTAAGACTCGTATGATCTGTAAGGAACTAAGTATTACGTATTTACTTTTCCGTCAGCGGATCCATCAATCTCGAAGTTTTCGAGGAACCGATTCATGACCACTTCCGAAGTTTCCTCCCCACTCATGTACCTGCAAAATATTTTTATTTTAAATTGGGATAATTTGTCATAAACAGTTCTTGGCATCATGGAGCAAGATATATTTATCTTTGGCTTTGGCAGTACGAGTAGGGGGTACGATATTTAAAGAAATCGGGCCCCACCCGTTAAAAACTAAAGTAGTAGGGGCGATAAAGGCACCTTGGTTGAGACTCGACCGCGTAGAGCTTGCGAATATCGTCGATGGTGATGGCGCCCTCCCCGGCCTTGTCCAGTTTCCTAAATGCCTGCTCCACCATAGCGCGGCGCGAGTCAGACATTGGCGGCTGAACCAAACAGGGAAAAAATCATTTCAGTAACTGCGCATTAACATATCAGGCTTGTATGAAATATTTAAATCGCTTGTAATCATATAATGCTACATCTTATCTAGGTATCATGACGATTAGGTACAAGTGCAAAAAGGTGTAGTGTAAAAGAACAAATTTAGGTTTGTATATACCTTGTATAAACAACTTACACGTATTTCCTCGATCAATTTGTCAATACTGATCGTGCCGCGATTTTCGGAATCGAACTTGTCGAAAAGTTGCTCGCACTCCTGCATAAATAAACAATATTTAAAAGGATGCAATTAAGGGTCTCCGCCTACTACACCAACCCATATTAATACGCTTAAAACGTATAAGCAATGTGGAAAAATCTAGTGGGTGTTTATGTCAAGTACATATTAAAAAAATGTACATTAAATAAACTTTATAAATACTTCCTGGTCAGTAAAGAACATAGAGTGGACATATGGTCGTACTTTTGGAATAAAACTACGCATGCTTTTAATGTACACATATTTACGTCCTGAAACCATGGTATAACAGGGAAAATAGCGTATGTATTTAGAACCCTTATATAATAAGATATTAGTAAAAAAAAATATAGATACCTCCTTGGTCATCTCAACTCCGGTCAAGGACAATATGTTGATGAACTCTTCCTTATTGAGTTGTTTGTTACCAACTTTATCCATTCTCCTGAACACCCTAAATTGATAAAATGTTTGCATCAAAAATAGCGGAAGTAGTGTGATTTTATTTACCACACCCACACAGACCTGTTACACAATTATAGACAGACAAGTTACTATTTACACATGATAAAGGTAACATAGACAAGAACAAATGATTAAGTAGAGAGACTTGGGAACAGCTAATTTAAAGAAGTATTTTACACTTGTCCAGTAACACACCTATCATTTCAGAATTGACCTCTTGCATATGAGAAGAATAGCAATTATTGAACCAAGTGCAAGTCGGACTCGCGCACGAAGGGTTCCGTACCATTATCATTAAAAACGGCAAAAAAAATCATGTCAGTTGTATGGGCGCCGCACTTAAATATTTTTTATTCGGTTTTTAGTATTTGTTGTTATAGCGGCAAGAGAAATACATCATCTGTGAAAACTGTTTCAACTGTCTATCTTGGGTAGACAGAAGGGTCTTAGTAATAGAGTACCGTTTTACCCTTTGAGTACAGAACCCTAAAATGCAACTGATGCATACACTACATGTATGTTATAAACAAGAACTTGTTTGAGAGCTGAAAAGTTGTTGTGACTTCTATATTTTTAGATCTCAATATTCCAAAATATAATTAATTTATTTTTAAATGAAATTATACAGATTCATCATGGTTATTTTAGTTCCTGATTTTTCTAAACCTTTTCAGCATTCATGGTCACAGGGCCTAACTATAGTCGCATAAACACAAATAATTAATCTTTTAAAGAAAACTGTATGGTAATTATAATCGAATGATCGTGACAACGGTGGTAGAAAATAATTACAATTCGCAAAGATCACCTCAGTTTAAATCAGTGGGTCCTGGAAACTAACAAAATTCATAAGAGAATTATAATAAAATTAATATAACATCATAATACTGAAGTAGTTATGGAAATAATATTTTCTTTCTTAAAAATGAATAGAGGCATATTAAAGAGATGAATGTATTTTTTTTAAGAAAATTAAGGATTCTCTTTTTTTTTTTCTTATGTATTTCAAATTGATGCTTACCTTCCTAAACCTAAAACTCCAGTTGCCCCTCTTGACAGACAGAGCAAACGTAATTTATCCAAAGGATCAGTAGAATGGCATACTGCTCTGGTGCTTTTTTGTATAAGTTCCTCCTCTTGAAGGGAGGATGCTGACTGTGGTCTGTGCCAGGCAACTGCAATTGAAAATGAAATGAAAAGGTGGGTCCTTACTTAATCATTAAAATAATGTACCATATACAATTAAATATTTGCTTACACTTAATTTGAGTTATAGAGAAGAAAAAACTTTGTATTGCTTATTTTTTTTAACTTTTTTGATTATCTACTCCCAACCATATTCATGAGTATATGAAGTTTCCCACTCCAAATCTCTCTACTCTAAATATTCAATACAAGCAATTGGAACACATTAATCGCAAAAAAAGCATATTCCAGTTTTAAGATTTAAATAGATTTACAGAATATGTTTGATAAGGAATATAGAAAAAATATCAAACTTTATCAGGATTCTTATTTTGGTCCCATTAATAACATTAGACTAGATGGAGTGACGACCTGTGCAAATGTGCAGGAAGTCGATGGATGCAGGTGGCTTAGGATCGTACTTGGTGGCAGTCTATGGGGGAGGCCTATGTTCAGCAGTGGACTCAAACAGGCTAAAATGATGATGATGAATAACATTTAATTCACTAATAAGTAACTTTGAAAATTTATTACGAATTTGTTTATTATCAATCTTGAGTACTTAATAATAAACATACCTAGTTACTGAATACTCACTGTTTGATGAAGTATGTGGTTTTCCCAGATACATGTCGCACATCTTTCCTAGAAATATTATTCGAATCGAATAATACAACCGTATTTGGTAAAAAAAAAAAGTTATAAAGAACGACGCCGACGCTAATAATCTATTCTACAGATCACGCTACTGCTCAGTTACAAAAACCAACGAATACTATAATCAAACGTAGTGGTTATATTCTCTTTGTCAATTCAATATATTTAACACTAACTTAGTACTTTTTTTTTTTTTTTTTTTTTTTTTTTTTTTTTTTTTTTTTTATTGTGGCATTTTGTTATCCTTTATGCCAATGACAAGTAAAAGGAAGGAAACAGTGGTTTTGTTGAAATATAAATTTATTTCAACAGGACTAGGAAGCGGAATTTGGAAAAAGGAAAATAATCAAGAAGATTTACGATACATATATTCAATGTGATAAAGTATTATTAATTACAGAATATTTAGTTTTATTAATATCGTATTTACACAAATACACATAATATATATACATATATACACACATATATATGTATATATATATATATATATATATACCCATATATACACACATACATACGCATACATTTATATATATAAACCTATTAACCAAATTATACTATAGTTTTATAGCATTTTTCTGAATAAATGAAGCTAATGTTTTATATACACAAGGGTCGTTATATGCTAAAAGGAATGGTATATTAATAGGAAAAGGTATCCGGAGCAATAGAAGATCAGTAAAAAGAGAGGAGCGGTCATATAATGGGCAAGAAAGGAAAATATGGTTCAAATTTCCTTCTTCCGTTCCACAAGCACATAAAGAAGTATCTACAACATGAATCTTAAACAGAAAAGACGGAGAACAGCAGTGACCTAATCGCAAACGAATTAAAGAACTAGTACAATATTTATTTAAATTGACTTGAGTGTACCAAGGCTTATTTGGAATTGTCGGTTGAATTGAGGAGTAGAATTTTCCTTTCACTAGGCTAGGAGATGTCCAGTAATGTTCCCAGGACTCTTTCAAATATCGCTTCGACAAGGAAAGAAGATCGTGACAATAATTAGTGTAAGGATATATATCACCGCTTAACACGGCTTCATTTGCTAACTCGTCTGCCTTTTCATTTCCTTTAATGCCGCTATGCCCGGGAATCCATGCAAAAACTACTGTAATGTTTTTAACTTGGCATTTGTATAACAATTTTCTTATTTCTAAAATTATAGGATATTGACATTTTGATTTAAGCGGAAAATGTGCTAATGTTTGTAAAGAACTTAGAGAGTCCGTAAAAATTATAGCTTTACATAAGTTTGTTAATAATATATATTCTACTGCGCGAAATAGACCAAAACATTCCCCAGTAAATACTGATGATTCAGGAGGTAATTTAATTTTTTGTACAATATTATACTGAGAATGAAATACTCCAACCCCAACACAACTATTATTGGTATGTTTAGAAGCATCACTATATATATAGTGCCAATTCTCCCAGTTATTTTCAATAATGAATTTAAAAGCTGTATGAATTTCTATTTCATCTTTTTTTATTCCAACATTGAGTTTTATGGAGGGTGTAAGAGTCAAGATTTTATAATCGGTTTCAAACAGTGGAAGAGTTTTGGAACGATACATGGGGGCTTCAATAGCAAGATATTTTTGGTAACTTTTAACAAGACATGGCAATTCCTTGAGTTTCCAATACGAAGATGAATTAATGACTTGACATAAGGTTTGTAGTTTTGTTATTAAAGGATGGTTTAAAATTTGTAAACAACGAAACAGGAATCTATCAGCTAAATATTGTCTTCTTAAGTGGAGCGGCGGATCTCCACATTCTAATTGAAGAGCATTAATGGGACTGGATTTCATTGCACCAGATATTATTCGTAAAGCTTTTGATTGAATTAAATCGATTTTTTTAAGACCAGATGCGTTACAAGGTTCCAATAAAAATGTACCATAATCTACAATGCTTCTAATGATAGCGTTGTAAACTAACTTTAAGGAGATGGGGTGCGCACCCCACCATACACCAGAAAGGCATCTTAACATATTTAGTTGACGTTCACATTTTGCTACTACATAATCGAAATGCGGAATGCCAGTAAGTTTTGAGTCCAATATTAGACCTAAAAATTTTGCATTATTCTTAACTGGAATTGGACTATTTTTATAAGAAATGTGGATTTTTGGAAGAACACGTTTTCTGGAAAATATTACAGTGGTACTTTTAGAGGCAGACAATTCAAGACCATTTGATTCACTCCAAATACTCAATAGACGCAAAGAGTAATTTAAGCACTCACAAGCTTTATGAGCAGATTCATCCGAAACATACAGAAGTAAATCATCTGCATACTGTAGAATATTTGCAGACCCATTAAGGAAATGTTCTAAATCATAAGTGTATATATTATAGAGTAACGGACTAAGAACAGAGCCCTGGGGTAATCCTTTCCAAGTCGTCCTGGATATTTTATGTCCATTTTCTAAAAAAAAATATGTATAGTCCTCTCATATAACATGTTATAAATGAAGTTAATGAATATTTTTGGAACTTTTAAATCAATTAATTTCTGCCGTAACAGATGCGGAAGAACACTATCATATGCAGAATTTATGTCTAAAAACGCAGATAGAAGGAATTATTATTTGTGAACGCCAGTCTTATATCAGTAGTTAAAATACTCAAGCTATCTATCGTACCTCTTCCTTTCCTAAAACCAAATTGACTGCTTGCTATTATATTTTTATTTTCAGCAAGCCATTCAAGCCGGTTTTTCACTAAATGTTCTGCAAGCTTACCTATTACAGATGATAATGCTATTGGCCTGTAAGATGTGGCCTCAGTAGAAAGTTTCCCGGGTTTAAGAATAGCAATGATTTCCTGTGTTTGCCAAGACTTTGGTATATTGCTAGTTGCTATTATAGAATTTAAAAGATTTAAAAAGTAAGACAAAATTTTTTCGTCTAAATTTGAAATAAAAGAGTATATAATACCATCCTCCCCAGGGGCAGAATCCTTAAGATATGATAATATGCCTTTTAATTCTGACATAGAAAACTGCGAGGCTAATTCGGAGTGATCGTTTAAATTACACTCTAAATTTGGGTGGCGAAATTCTGGAGCAAAAGGGGGGGCAAGTCGGTCTGTAAAATCTTCAGCAAGATCTATTGGAAGAGATATTGAGGGAGAACTAATTTTACTACATCTGAATCGTCTGATATTTTGCCAGAGAACTGAAGGATTAGTATTAGGAGAGATCGATGAACAGTAATTTTCCACCCTTCGATTTTCTTCATCTTTAAAATTTTGTGTGTGTTGGTACTTATAACTTGAAAACTTTCAAAATTTTCTGATGTCATAGATGAACAATATTGTCTTTCTGCAGTCTTTCTTTTTTTAACAGCTTCAGAGCATTCTTTATCCCACCATGGCGGGGGTGAAGCTTTTTGGTAGGTATTTTCTTTTAAAGGAAAAGCTTGTTCCGCAGCGTTATTAAGAAAATTTACAAAAGCATTATAGGAGTCAATTTCATAAAATTTTTGGACATCTGGCAAGGTAGAAACGTTCTGTAGTGTGTTGCTTTTGTAAGTATCCCAGCCTTTAGTACTTAATCTGTATTTCATACGTGAACGCGGAACTTTTTGATTTGGAAGGTTATAGAAAGGAAACGAAATAATTATTGGAAAATGATCACTGCCATAAGTAGAAGACAAAATGTCCCACTCTAGAACAGAAGAAAGATTGGAAGTACATATAGATAAATCTACAGCACTCACACTCTCATTCGGTTCTGTACGTCTTGTCGGCTTTGAAGTATTTAGAACACATAAATTATGATGATCAAGGATATCTAACATTAGATCTCCATTAGGATTAGAAAAAGAGCTACCCCAGGATTGATGATGACAGTTAAAATCACCCATAACCAAAAATGGCTTTTTCAGTGAAGATAAGAGATGATTAACTTCATTTAAAACTTGTTGAGATGGGTGAGGAACATAAATAGATACATAACAAACATTATTGTATGAAATCGCAATTGCCGAAAAGTTATCAGAGTGTGGAGGCAGTGGAACATACGTGAAAATAACAGTTTTTTTAATTAAGATTGCTACACCACCATATCCATCCAATCTGTCTTTTCTATGGCAAATGTATCCTTGCATATTAAATGATAAATTTGGCCGCAGCCAAGTCTCCGAAAGAGAGATAAGGAAAGGATTAAATTTGTTAATCAAATATATCAATTCACTTTTTTTATTAACTATGCTCCTGCAATTCCATTGTATAACTTTGGCTTGATTGTCCATTGTTAAGAATTTGTTTAAGAATATCAAATGTTTGAGCAACGTTGTTCGGTGAAATTATTTTACTTAGTAACAAAGAATTAATTAAAGGAATTACAACATCTGTAAATATGTCTTGTTTTTCATTACCATTGGGTGTTAATGCACATCCGTTAGACGACATTGGGATTTCAAAGTCCTTAATTAGAGCTTGATGAGCTGCTTTGTCATAGCCTTTGTTGAAATGGGGAAGAGGTCGAGTTTTTAAAGAAACTGTCTTTTTATATGAGTTTTTCAATGGTTGGTTAATATGTGATGACAAAGAATGTTGTGGCCTCATAGACTCAGCTGAATATGTGCTAGAGGGAACAGATTTAAGAATGTCAACATAAGACTTAGTGACAGGGGGGAGCATTTTGGAAGCCTCTGCATATGAGATGCAGTTTTGTGCCATGGTCAATTTTATTTGTTTTTGTCTAGCCCATTCAGGACATGATTTGCTAATAGCAAAATGTGACCCAGAACAAAGGAAACAGAAAGCACAGTCATCATCTTTATTGCAAGAGTCACTTGTATGAACATCTCCACACTTAAAGCAGCGTGGTTTGGACCTACATTGAATTTTAGTGTGACCATATCGACAGCAGTTGTAACATTGTATAGTAGGATATGTGTAAAGTTCGACAGATAAAGCATTATAGCACATATAAATGTGTGTTTTGGAAGAACCTGACCCTCA